TAATACGTACAGTATATACGTATATGATGTGTATTCTATGATGAAATGTATAGAAATGTATAGTATTTATAATACATACACACAGTATATATAAAAACGGAGTATTGCAGCATTCAATGATACCTACCTATATACCGTGTATGTATGTATGTATGTATGTATGTATATATACATATATATATATATTTAAAAAGCGGCGGCCATATTGAGTGGGGCAAGTGAGAATAAAAACGTGCTGGATTAGTGTGATCCTAGTTCATTTTATTACTTCATTGCTGGGCTGTATGTGTATAGGCCAATGTAGTTGGATCTGTATGTGCGTTTATAATCAAAATTAATTGATTAAAAACATTTTTGATTAATCGAACACGAAAATTTTAATCAGTAACAGCCTTAATATATATATATATTCTTTTTGCCTTCGGATAGAGCAGGAAAATGGTAAAACACTCCGTCAGTTTATTTTGTTGTTGTCTGTGTCCTGTTGAGGAGATTTCCCTTCACTTCCTGTCCTGGTGGCACAACAGGAAGTGAGAGGATATTTCCTCGCCTCTTGTTCTGGGGACAACTGTAAGATTCTGAACTGCTAATAATTTTCTGCTCTGGAGACAATGGTCACCAGAATAAATGGGCAGGGTGACTCTCCCCAGTGTGGATATAGATGTCAATAACATTTTGTGGAAGCAGTGGTCTCTATGCAAATGTCTGACTCCTCTGCTCTCCAGTCAGCTGTGAGTTTAGATTTACTGATTGGATATCTATAACTCTGGTTCATCAGGGGAAGTGTCAGTCCTCTACAGGGAGACCACTGCTTCCCCACAGAGAGCAAGGGTTCCTCTTTGTAGCATGCCGGCAGGGGACAGCTTTTTCTACTCAGGCCGTGGCTGCATTCTAAGGAAACCCAATTGTAAGACATTGCAGACTTTTTTTGATGCTCCTGGAATGTATTTAGGAATTTTAGACAAGATCTGAACACAATCATTAGAATGGAATATGTTTTAAGATGTTAAAGGAGAACTATGAGGTGGGTGCTTTTCACTCACCTCATAGTTCTAGCAGACCTGTGACAATGACAATGAGACTGTCACAGGTCGGCTCAGTAGATCGGGAGGTGAGGGAACACATACCGGCGTTCGCTCACCTCTCGATCCTGTCACAGCTCTCTGCCGTGACAGGGGGAGGGGCTGGATTCCCCCCTCCCCGCTCCGATCCGCCAGCGCTGACTGGCGGAACGGACGGGGGAGGGGGCGGGTACAGCTGGCTCTGCCTCTAGATAGGCAGAGCCAGCTGTCAGTCACGCAGCTGGGCGGATCCCGGCACAATTGTCGGGATCCTCTTCAGCTGCGGCGTCTCAGTATACCGCGAGCACCAGCTTGCGGTATACTGAACTTTGGGTGATGGGAGGACGCTAGTTTGTGTCCTCCCGTTACCCTAAGGAGAACTATGGTGAAAAGCCTTAACCCCATAGTTCTCCTTTAACGAAATGTAAAAGTTCTTTTCAATCTGTTTAAATTTGGAATGTGACTTTTGACATACTCAGAAACATGAAACTTGCATGGTGTGTTCCCTTCTGGAGCATAGTACCCCCACCCTGTTATTATGACCTGCATCATGACATGCCTTATAATAATACACATGCATGGTAATGCACTTGAGATATGCACTGAGATGCTGTGGCATTGAAAGTGAATTGCACCCCGGCATGCATCTACGGTGCACTGCAATGCACCTGCATTATAGAGCACTGGAATGCACAGATACATGTGCTCTATGTGTTGCTCTGTGCTGTGCAGGACCTACATTTTCCAGCCTTGACAGCCCATTAAAAATAATTAGGCTGCTTAAGGTAAAGCTCCTCTAAACATGAAAATATGTGTGATACGGTGGGTATGGGCCCCCACTGCGGCTAAACTATGAGCCCTGTATATCCTTAGTAATCTTGGTGAATAAGGTCTTGTGCTGTGCCACCCACTGATATAAGTCATACCCACCTAGGTCTAGGAAATTGTGGGATCAAGTCTGGCCATTGAGTGGCGGTCCTAATAACAACCTGGCTGCAATTTTTTTATTTTTAGGGGTGCCATTCAGTAGTCTAGAAATCAGCATCTTCTGTGTGATGTCAAAACAACTCACCAAAATCTCAGAAATAATGTTTTTATTTGTAAAGTGCATACAATTTGTACAGAAAGCCATGCAAAGGAAAAATTCCATATGATAAATTGGCAAAAGTTTCAAGAATATTGATTCCACCTGGGGGTGCAAGCACAACTACTGTTTATTAAGTATTTAAAATATGTAACGCATTAAAAACCTAACGCTAGTCAAAACAGTGAAGAGTAAGAACCTTGGTCATGTTTCCATTGCTTCCATGTCACAATTTAAGAGATTTCTCCATACTTCCTGACCTGTCCAGGGGATGGGGAGATGGGTCTCAGATAGAACAGGAACTGAGGAGATCATAGAGTTCACATTTATAACACAACACAAGCTCTAACAATTCCCCACATCATCCTGAAAAAACGAAATTGGTTGGCTGGAGCTGGCTCTAATCTTGTAAACATTCCACTATGACTAAGCTTCCCACCAGGTCATCTTGGGATCCGTAGTAGAAAAGACTACCAATGACTACAATTTTACCAGCAGATCACCAAGAGGAAATGCATTTGAGGAAGATCCATCACAAAGGCAAGGATGGCCATAAATAGTCATTTCCTGTCCCCAGTTTTATGCCCAGTGCCCACTATGATATATGGTTGAAGATTAAACTGTTTGGGGCTACCCTAGGGGGGTGACCATAGAGACCTTCTAACTTGTTGGAAAATCATCATGCAAACTGGTAGATCTTTCCTTCCCCGTGCAAGTCCTGGAGCTACAGAGAAGGGGCAGATGGCTCCCTGTACGTGGTTTTTGGAGAAACACCTGCTGGTATATGGAAGCAGAATAATAAGCATTTTATTGTAGCTAGGATCTGTCAAATGAGGAACTAGCCAGTCTTGAGAAGATCTAAACATAGACGCAGATGAAGACCAGCGTCCCACCGCCCCAATTCTATTCTGGGAGGTGCGTTCTCACCTCCCAGAAGAATCCTCAAATATCAGCCACACTTAGCCGATGTACGTATAAAATCACATTTTATTGTAGTTTATTTATAAGACTAGGTTCACACCTAGGCGACACCTCACCGCGCGGCAATCTTGCACGATTCAGAGTCGGCACGGTGTGAACCGATCGCGCTGTGGGGGCCATTAATTTCTAATGGCACCCCAGTCGCGACGGGCGTATCGCACGGCTTCCCGCCACGATTATGCTCGTGCTTCCGAAAACAGCCGTGCGTTGTATATCACAAAAAAAAGGTACTTGTACCTTTTTCTTGCGATTGCCGTGCGGATGTCACCCCATTGAAATCAATGGGGCTGCACATCGATCGCTGCCTGCATTGAGCAGGACCACACGACACCCAGGACGAGCGTCCCGGGAGTCGTGCGGTGTAGTGCAGGTGTGAACCTAGCCTTATGGACTTATGTTGGATGAACTATAAAATATGATTCTATATGTACGCCGGCTAAGTGCAGCTGATATTTGATGATAGACACAGACAAGTTGCAGTGGTAATGGACATGGTCGGTTCCTGTGAAGAGCTGGGTCTACCTGGAACCATTCAATTTTATTCATTATACAGTGCTGGTTTTTCAATGTGAGGATGTTGGAAGGTGAAGACATAGGGGTGGTAGATTTGCTTCAGCGCGTTGTTCAGGATTAAATGAAGCATGCTAAATATAAAATTAAAACACGTGTTAGTAAACAGATAATATAATGAATATACTAATATACTATAAAAAGAGATTTACTTCTTCCCCCCCCCCCCCCCCCCGCATTTGCAGAATAAGACGCAGTAATGGCGGCCTCCTTGACTCTCTCAGGAAAGGTTATCTTTAAAGCATCTCTGTTGTTGTTTATACGGTATATATATATATATATATACCCTGGTCCTAAAGTAGGTAATATCAAGATCACAGCTGCAGCGGCATCTTTCTTTCAGCCGGCATCCACCTTACACATAAAAGTGATCCAAGCACTTGTGATCCAAGCACTGAAACGAGAGCCCACCTCCGCCTATGTAGATTGTCCCGCCCTTGTGCGGGGCCAGGACCAGTACGGCACACATCCAGTGTCTGATCCCCCTTCCAGTTGTTGAACCCGGAAGTGACGAGTATTTCATCACTTCCGGTTTCAGGCTGTCATTTCTGCTGTGGCCAGATAAGAAGGTGGTGCAGCACTATATGTGCTTCATCAACTGCAGCGGGATCCATAGGTGACATTAGTGGTCTATTAGACCCCTGATGTCTTCATATAGAGGACTTGTCACTTCCTTTATACTATCACACAGGGGGCATGTTGGCACCCTATGCGATAGCAATAAAGTAAAGCAATAGCAATAAAGCCTTCCACCCCACCGCCCACTCACCGGAGTGGCTCACTCAAGCCCCACTTCTAATTATGTGCAAACCACCCACGATTGATTAATGCTTTATTGAGTTTCTAAGTGTGCTCAGTAACTTAAATAAGGGTGAATCTGTGATAGCCGGATGTCCTGCAGGACACTGGCACCCTCAGAATTGAGATCCAAGATGCAGGACTCTCTCACCAAATCTGGGGCAGTTGGCACCTACGCCATTGAAATGAATGAGGTTGGCCGGCATGTGAACACTAAGTAGTGGTGTCAGAGGGGAAGGCTGTGCAACTCCAGGAAAAAAAGGTGGGGTCCTGGAGGGCCATGTTGTCCCGCCCGGAGATGGGGGGGGGGGGGGGGCATTTTAAAAAGTATTTAACATGGCAAGCAGCAATAAGGCAATAAGGAGGGTGGGGGGATTTTTAAAAGGACAGGTTCACTAAATGGAACTTGTCTTTTAGAGAGAAGTTTCTGTACGGCAGCCATAGAGGACAGCGTCATGCCACTTTGACACAGGAATTTGCACTCTCCTACACACAAATTGTATTACCTTGTAACAGGGCCGGTTCAAAGCACCATGCTACCCCGGCAACGCTGGAGTCAAAGCAGCAGCCTTTGGCCCGGCAGATAGCTGGGGAGATACGAGGGTAACCGCAGTTTATCCGAGCTTTGGGTGAGACGGAACACTCAGGGGAAGCTATGGAAGGCACACAAAAAATAAAGAGAGAGAGAGAAAGATGAGACAAACTCTCACTGGGGACTCAAATCACATGCACGGTATCAATATTAAATCCAATCATTATCAATCTTTTAAAGGGGACAATTGGTATTAACAACTTTGTTTAGATATACATAGAGAAGGGATTGGATTACGCAGCAATGGTCCACTGCTGTCACCATCAGGAAGCCCTGCCTGAGAAATGTCATGCAGTCATCCCTGGGGTACATGTATTATTATTATGATTATTATTATTATTATACAGGATTTATATAGCGCCAATAGTTTGCGCAGCGCTTTACAATATAAGGAAGACATTACAGTCACAATACAATTTAAGACAAGATGGTAAGGAGGGCCCTGCCCGTGAGGGCTTACAATCTATCATGTAGATAGAAAGTGGCTGCAAATAGGCTGTAGGAAATGTGCAGCACTGAGATAGAACAAAGTATAAAAAAAAGGATAAAAGGATTAAAAAAACTATTTTATTAAAAAAAAAATGAAAATAGCTTATCAGTATGTCGTTCAGTGAGGGCTTCCATCTACTTTATTGACCAGACTACCCAAACCAAAGGCAGCCCTGATATTTATTTGTGTGGGCAGCCTATGCCTGGTATATAACTTTACTAATCAGGATGCTGGAACTACAAATCCCAGCGTCCTGATTAGTAAAGTTATATACAAGGCATAGGCTGTCCACACAAATCTATAAGCATCTATGAGGGAATCATAGACGGTGTACTTACTCTGGGCAGAGCGGGTGACCCCCAACAGCAGCACCGCAGCTAAGATCCAGCAGATTCTGCGCTCCATTCTGACGCTCTCCTTTGGGTCCGGATGGAGAAATCACACCAGCAGCAACGGCCACGTGCTCCCCTTATTTTATATCCTCGGGTCTGTTTGCTGAATTCTTCTGATAAGGTTCTCTGAGGGTGAGGCCTCTCGCTCTCCACACCCCGGCTTTGTCTGTTGAAGTATGACCCTGAAAGGGTGACACCAAAAAGAATTAATGAAAGGAGGTGCCAGGTTATTTTCAGATCACTAAATGTAAATAAATCAGTGTAGCATTTATAAAACGGGAAAAAGTCGTTTTACATTGTTTAAAAAGACTAAAGCTGGGTAGACACGGTTAGAATGTTTGTTTTCCGGACGTTGGTTTGATTTTATAATAGTCGATGGGGTCAAATGGACGATTGCTTTTGACCACAGTGATGGAAACATTAACTTGGGGAAACTCCATTTATAACAAAATCGAATATTAAAATTAAACTAAATTCCAAGTGACATTCGTCAAGTCTCTGATGACATTATCGAATGTTCTGGTGAGATTGTTCATATGACGGTGTGTATTTACCAGTGCATGGCCTACTTTAGAATTTCGGAGGATTCACGGAAGTCGGCCCAAAATTCTGACAGTGGGAGGCCCTGTTGGCTTGACAAAGGTCGATTATTTAAAGGAGCTGGGCTGAAAATTGTTGGCTGAATAGTGACAGCAGCCAATCATCTGTAGTATCAATTCAAGTGTAATATCTGTTCTTATCAGTGTTCAGGAGGGGCCCTGTGATTTCTAGTTACGCCCCTTGCAGAGCCCACCTGAGATCCCAAACAGCCCATCTGAGAGTGACCCTGCAGAGCCCACCATAGACTCTCTATGGTGGGCTCTGCAGGGTGTCAGTTGCGCTGGTCACACCCATGCACACCTCTTCCCTGTCAGCCCCTATCCTCTGTCAGCCTTCTCCACCACCTCCTCTGCAGCTGCTGGCTGTCACTGACTCAACAGCGGCTGTGAGGAGGAACGCGCCGCTGTACAGATCACTTACAGTTTGTCAGTGATTTAAAGAGCGGCGCGTTCCTCCTCACAGCTGCCATTGACAGCCAGCAGCCTACGATGCCATAGCGACCCAGGCGCCCCGCACGGCATTAGGGGGACCCATTTGTTCCTCGTCCTGGCCGGGCCCCCCTATGCCCCGGGCCCCTTAACAGCCACCTTGGTCGCTCTGGTGATAGTTCCGCCACTGGTGTCAAGGCCCCAATAGACTTAAATGGGAGCACCTAAATAAGAAACTGTTTTTTTTGCATAGTAACTAGCTTTGCATTGGCTAAATATAAAAAAAAATCAATGCTCAAACCTGTGCTATTAGGAAGTAATGTTGTTGAGGAATTAGAAATGACAACCAGTGATATTCCCAGAGTCTCTGGCACTCTGGGTGGATCATATGTTAATACCCTTGCTGCTCTATCTGACAAAATGTAATGATAGTAATGGCCAGTGAAAGCTGTAGTTTCCCGTCAGTTGGGGGTCAATAGAGATGTACCCCTTTTATTGGTGGTTGCTGGAAAATTAATAGTCAGTCAGTCATGAAGAATCCCCTTTACATTGACAGTCAGCGTAGTGCCTAGTTACATTGGTGGTGAAAAGTAAAACATAATTTGTATTGATGGTCGACAGGAAGAAGACATTGGCGGTCAGTGGGAGGAAAAATATCCCTTACATTGGTAATCAGTGGGAAGAAGAATGCCCCACACATTGGTGGTCAGTGGTAAAAAGAATGCCACTTACAATGGTGGTCCACATGAATAAGAATATCCAACACATAGGTGGTCCGTGGGAAGAATGCCTTATACATTGGTGGTTGTTGGGAGGAAGAATCTCCCTTACATTAGTGGCCATTGTAAAAAGAATCCCCTTTAAATTAGTGATCAGTCGTAGAAAGAAATCCCTTTACATAGGTGGTCCATGGGAGGAAGCCTCCCACTTAAAATAGTGGTCAGTACTCTTTACATTAGTTGTCAGTAGGAAGAACAATGCTGCCTACATTAGGGGTTAGTTAGAGGCAAAATACTCCTTACATTGTTGGTCAGTGGGAGGAAGTATAACCTTTACATTGATGGCCAGTGGAGAGGGGTTCCCTTAAATTGGTGATATATAATGGTACCATGACATTTGCATTAATCATCCGTGGAAAGAAGAATAGCTCTTACATTGGTAGTCAATGGTAGGAAGAATACCTGTGACATTGGAGGTTAGTAGGAAGAAGAATACCCCTTACATTGGGGGTCTGTGGAGAAGGATGTCCTTAAATTGGTGGTCAGTAAGAGTAAAATGGCATTTGCATAAATGGTCAGTAGGAAGACGAATACCCTTTACATTGCTGGCCAATTTATAAAACAATGCTTTCTACATTGGTGGTCAGTGGTTAGAAAAATGCCCCTTACATTTGTGGTCAGGGTGAAGAACGATGCATCTCATATTGGTGGTCAGTGGAAGGAGGAAACTACCTTACATTGTGTCAGTTAGAACAAGAATGAGCCTTACATTGATGATCAGTAGGAGGAAGAATACCCCCTACTTTGGAGCTCATTGGAGAAGGGTTTGTTTACATTGGAGATCAGTAGGTGGGAAAATGCCCATTACATTGGTAGTTAGTAGTACTAATACCCCTAATATTTGTGGTCAGTGGTAGACTGGCCCCCTTGCAGTAATGTTATTGGGAGTAAAATTTCCATTTTAAATGGTGGTCAGTGGGAAGAATATTCCTTACATTGGGGGTCAGGTGTAAAAAAGCTCCCTTGCATTAATGATCAATGGGTGGAAGAATTCCATTTCAGTTGGTGGTCAGTGGGAAGAATACCTTTTACATAGGTGGTCAGTGCTACAACAGCCCCCTTGCAATATTAATCAGAGAGAAAGAATTACATTTCAGTAGGTGGTCAGTGAAAAGAATACCTCTTATATTGGTGGTCAGTGAAAAGAATACCTCTTATATTGGTGGTCAGTCTCTTGGTCCTCCCCTGAGGTTCATAATACTTATGTGGTCCACAGTTAAGAATCAGACAAGTCTACTATTCTACATTGCAGCTTTATTACATTAAATATGTGCCTGGCCGAAATACATTTATAAAGAGGAAAATTATTTAACAGTAGGTAATAATCTGATCATCAGACAGAGAGTGTTGTCCAATTGCTAAGTTGTGGAAGAAAATTAGGTATGACAATTGCTTGTTCTTGCATAGTTCCACTGGCAGAGACAGCTTCCTTTATTCAATTCCATTTAAAAGAGACACTCTGCGATAAAAGAGAAACATAATCATAGTTAGACAAGCTGTCAAGATTAGAAAAGGAGTCACATTTATTCCACCCACCATCAACCTAAAACTCAGATCAATACCCCAACATGTAAAGAGGCAGGGGCGTATCTGCCGCGAGGCAAACAAGGCGTTTGCCTGGAGCGGCAGATTCCCTGAGAGCGGCACTTGCTGTGGTTCTCTCCCCTTGATAAATTTTATTTATCAAGGGAAGAGAACCGGAGGCTATCGTAGCGGCGGGGACGAGGACGGCGGGTTGCGGCGGTGTCCAGCAGGCAGCGGTCAGCGGCGCTTCTTAATCTTCTTAATGCCGGGTGAGTGATCGTCGGAGGGGGTTGTCGATGGAGGCTTGTGCTGATGGGGAGGCGGCGTCAACCCCGGGGGGGGGTGCTGATGGTGACGATCGTCCGTCAGTACGGGGGGGAGGAGGGGGGGCGGCGTTGCTGTTTTGCCTAGGGCAGCAGCATTTGTAAATACACCGCTGTAAAGAGGTATGGATGAATGGACAGAGTTAGTCAATAAGGCAACCCAAGCCAATAATCAGAATGAATTTAACCAAATGGCTACCTTTGGTTAAAATGACTATGACTTAAACAACTACACGAATATTCGATAAGTGTTGACTCATAGGGGCCCTTTGGGTTGTTGTCCTATTTGTGACTGCCCAATGGGTTTTCCTGGCAAGATACAAATACATTATACGAACTATAAATCAGTTACAAGACCATATCTAGAATATGGGGTCCAGGTGTGGAGTCAGTGGGTTGAAATGAGCAACTAAATAAATGAAATGAATAGAAATTCCTACTGTCAAAAAATAGAACAATGAGCAGGATTATTCACAAAAGGGTGAAAAGTTTGGAGAAGGCTTGGGAAGTGAGCAATCTAGGACAGAATAGCTGAACTGGAAAGTGAGCTGAATTGGAGAATTTTTCAAAATCAGCTATGTTGTCCTAGATTGTTCACTTCTCCAAACTCTTCACCCTTCTGTGAATAACCCTGTAGGTTTCTATAGTACGAGAAAAAAAATGTCTTAGAGGCGGTTTATATTGTATGTCAAGCCAAAACTTTGGATAGTGGAAGTAGGGAAAGGTTAGAACCCATGTCAGGTTTTTTTTACTGCTATCCAGGGCTCCAGGACTTGCTGTCCTGCTGACAACATTTAACCAGACAGGAAGTCAGGACAACTCTCTAACAGCAACAAAAATGGAAAAAAAAATGATTTTCTGCAGTAGAAAAACCTAGATCCCCTATAAGGTTTTTTTTTATTGCTGGCCGTGTCCCTGTTGTAGAATTTCACTCACTTGTGTAGTAAATGTATTGTTTATAGGAAAGAAAGTGAAGGTAATTTTCTCTAAAGGAGCCCTGAATATCAGTAAAAACCCAGCAATAGTTCTAATCCTTCTCTTCTCTATTCAAAACTGAACATTTTTGGCTTGACATGCACTTTAATTAAAATGCTTAAATATATCCAAAGCCATAATAACGTTATCCCAAGGTCTGTACAAAAGGATAAGGGGACATCAGCTGCAAATGAAAGAAAGAAAGATCTTTCAATCAGTAAATGTGAAAGGTTGAACTTGACGGACCTAATTTTTTTAATTAAATGTATGAACTGTGTGACTAAGTAAATTTCTATCTCTTACTCCACTCAAACTGGTGCCAGTTCATCCAGCAAACATGAGGGGATATACAAACTGTCCAGTTGGGAACCAACCCCCCAACCCAAGTGAAAACACTTACAGGGTTATTCACAGAAGGGGGAAGAGTTTGGAAAAGGTAGGAGAACAATCTAGCACAACATGGCTGAACTGGAAAGTGAGATGAATTGGAGAATGTTTACAAATCAGCTATTTCCACCTAGATTGACCACTTCTCCAAACTCTTCTTCACCCTTTTGTGAATAACCCTATTAGTTCCCATACTGGCATATAAGCTTACTGCTCTTTGGAGAGCTATTGTGCTGGGTAAAATATGAGGCCATGATCAAGGCATTCTGCTATGTGTGGCCGCTATGTCCAGATGGTTAAATTGCCAATTCTGATATCATCAAGGATTTCTAAGATTACAATGACTTTCTTTTTTTTCTTGTAGAGGGTGAATTTGATATAGATTAGTTTTTTTTTTACCTATGAATGTCTGTAATAATGGTATGATCCAGGGATGTAGCTAGATTCCCACACCTATTATATTAATAACACACAATAAAATGTACAAAAATACTACACATAATATCATATAGCAAAAGGAACCTCTAGCTTACATTGGGATCATACTTTCAATGTGCACATTGAGCGGACCTAAAGTCTACCATACAGTGACGTTTTTTTCCACCACCAACTCCAACTCCTTCTTGTCAATAATTTATGACTAGTCATCAAAGAGCTCTTTTCAACCTTCTCAATGTGAACGAACATGGCATAGGATCATGTGGCTGCTATCAACCAGACAGTTCAGGTTCAGCCAGCCGACCAATGGCTCTTCTGCCAGAACACCAATCCTGCCTCTTGGTAGCAGACACATACCCCCAACACACATGCACAATGGCTTTACAGTACAGATTAGGAGAGCTGCAGTGTGCAGATGGGTTAGGATGTGACAGCTGTGTAGTGTAATAGATTAGTGATAGGGTGGGGGAAGAGGCTAGGTCAGCTCTAAGGTAGGTCTTAAGGTCTTTATTTTCCAATCTTGAATCCATCCTTGTGACCTGGGTGTGGTTGTTACTTCTTTATCCCACTACAACTGCACCAAATTATTTTCCATAATTCACCAACTCTTACCATCATCTGGCTTGGCATAGTAGCACCAGATGGCATCTGGATTACTGCTGTCGAAGCAGCATCCTTTGTTGAAGCACTCTGAAGCGGTGATACCTGGCACCCCGCAGTTTACTCTTGCAACAGATTGAACGTTGCATTGGGCCTCAGCTAGGATGGGAAAAAAAATGAGAGTTAGTGATCATTTTTCACCAGTGGCTCATGAGTCCCATGTGCCACCAACCTCCCTGTCATTTTTGTTCATGACACATGATGCCATTTTAGAGGAGCTCAAAGTTTATGTGCCCCATACCCAAAGGAGGGAGGTATTAAAGAGACTTGGAGATTATATCTCATTTGCCTGTTGTTCTAGGATGAAAGTAGACCTCTTGTTTTAAATCTAAACTCCAGGAAGAACCAAGTAATGTGTTTAAAAAAAACATTAAATGTTTCAGCACAAGTATCTGAATCTGTCCTTAACCTCATACTCATCCTAATCCTCTACATTCAAAATAGTAGAAGCATAATTTTTTGCTTCTACTACTTTGACAACAATAAAGGAAGGCCAGCTTGTTTAGCTAACCTAGACTCTAATTCTTTGCACAGTGTTGCCTGTTTAGATCTTTAAATGTGTTTTCAGGAGAGGTGCAAATGGTTGACTTCATCAGTGTGCTGCTGCTCCTTTACTGTCCAAACAAAATGCTGGAAGTCATCGACCAATCTGTGTTGCCTAAATGCAGCAGAGAGGTGAGGTCACTGACCAAGCTATGCTGTTTAGCAGAGGCACCTGGATCACTACACTAGCTAAGCAAAATTACAAGTCTATTGGCACATACGATAGTACACATATAGGCATTTCAGCATGCTGGGCTTTTTTAAAGGATAGCTAACTAAGACCTTCTAAGTCTTAGGGGTTTGTTTATAAAAGTTTATTCATAGGGAAATTCCTATACTTGTCAGCGCCATCTAGGGGCACTAGTGCCATACAAACGTTTATAAATGAACCCCTTAGTGATGGTAAGACCTAACTAAGTCTATGCTTGGAGAGAAAGATGCAGGTATGTTCCTTCTATGAGTCAGTGTATAATCTGATTTCTCTTGCTCTACTCCTCTATTGCACAGCATGGCTGATGTAATGAAGAACACTGATGCAATAGCTTGGATCTGGCATGCAAGCTGCAAGTAAGTTTTAAACATGAACATTTTTATTAAATAATTGAGCGTAATTAATGTAAAAACTACTTTATATATCTATATATATAGATCTATATCTATATATACAGTATATGTGTATATATCTATACAATAAAAAAATTGAGTATTACAGTATGCAATGATACCTTTCTCATTGGACTAACATAATATTTAAAAGACAAACTTTCGAGAGTTCTTCAAAGAGAGGTTAACTCTGGAAAGCTTGTCTTTGAAATATTATGTTAGTCAAATAAAAAAAGTATTATTGCATACTGCAATACTATGTTTTTTGTTTTTTTTTTACATCGTGTCTACTGGACTAATACAGCTTACCCATTTACATGTATTACATTACATTTATATATATATACACTGCACATTCCCTTTAAGGCATTCCATTTTTCAGACTAACATTTGTTTAACAATAGCAATGCTCACCATTTACATTTACACTTAAACAGTGCCTTGCATAAGTGAGTTTGCTCACAGAAACATTATTAATCCAATTGGTTCCTAAATACAGTTTAACAATTTAATTAAACAAAGTGAAATTATGAATTCATTAAACCTCTCTGAGCAGTTGCTGGACAAAGTGTTTATTTTTCTGAGCACGCTGAGTTAATTCCGGTGTTCAGGGAGTTTAAATATAGGTTAAGTAAACAGTTGTAGTAATTTTAGCTCGTTGACTAATGACGTATCAGAATGTTATGGTCACGCTGAAGGCAGAGATAATATTTCACACCAATGGAGGGGCTGTAGTCTGCTGTCGGGAAAAAGAAACTATTCGGTAGCAGTAATCTAGGAATTTTGTGGCTTTTTCCATTTTCATGGTGCTTGTATACACTGTATACATATTGAATACTGTAAGGCACTGGCTGGTGGGATTTTGGAATGATGTATATGAGTCACCTAGGTTCCTAACTGACACATGGTGGGAGGGGGGCTCCATAATTTGTGTCTGCTATGAAGAAAACAAACTTTTTGTTTTCTTAGATCTTAATAGGTCCTGGTCTGGGTCCTGGAGCCTGGAGGCTTTGTAGACCTTTGGGTGGGATAAAGTCTTGTATAAATTATATTTTTAATACTATGGTTAGAAGAAGAAAGATTAGTTTGATTACATGCAGCCAGCATAATAAGTTCTTGGCCTCTTGTTACATTGTCCTGGTTCTCCTTAGCTTCTCTGTTGAAAAAAAAGCCTCTGTTTTACATAGCTCAATAGCTCAAGCTGAAAGTAACTGCAGCCTATAATTGCATTTCTGAATTGTGTACCTCATGTAAAGGGGACAATACACACAACATGGTAGGTGGCTTGATCATTCATTATGTAGAACGATCAAAGAAAGACCAACCACAACTGTACTCAGGGCCAAATTTACTCTCCCTGCTGCCCCAAGGCCAGGTTCCCCAATGCGCCCCCTTACCCGCCAACTCCCCCCAGAAATCCGGCTCTGACTGTACTAGTGCAGTGCTATTTCTGTATCCTGTCCAGACACCTCTGTGGTGAAAAACAATGATCTTTCTGGATAATCCTGGATGATCAGTTCCCTCACGTACAGGCAACTCAGGTGTCTGGTCATGTTAAAGAACAAATATGGGAGCTGACCTCGTTCTGAAAATGCTAGTTATGTTATCCCCCCATCTTCAGAACTTTGAATCACCGAAAGAAGTTTCCCAACCAAGCCAGTCAGAGAAACGTTAGAATTCTTAACTTCTATACTTCATTTGGCTCAGTGACTTGAGGTTTTGAAGAAGGATGAGAATGACAGATGGGCAACTAGGAAGCACCAGAAATGACAACCATTAGCTCCCTTTAAATGCAAACCATAGATATCAAATCATTCTGTAATCTGATCACCTTATATCTACAGGGACCTCAAAGAATATAGAAATCCAATTTTTTTTCTAGTTTTGAATAGAATAGGACATGGATAGAACCTTTGCCTTTTTTTATTTGCTGTCTGTGTCCTGTTGATGAGATTTCTCTTTACTTCCTGTCCCAGAGACAAGAGAGTGAGTAGAAATCTCTCCAGGGGACACTGGAACAACTATCGCTAGTGGAAGATTTCTTCTCTAATACTGTGCTGGTGGCAACTGTAACATTTTGGATTTCCCATCACTTTCTGTCCTGATGAAAATGGTCACCAGGAAAATTAGAGAACTGAACTTATCTTCCCAGGAACACAATTACCTTCATTTTAAAATTCTACTGGCCCTCAAGGCCTGAATGTGGACATCCCCAGTAGAAAACTTACTTAGTGCAGCCTGTCCATTTGCAGAGCTGAGAGAGCTGACAACGAGGGCGATGGCCAACAGGCAGAACATACGGTAATCCATAGCTGGTCTCTTGGCTTGGTCGTCCTGTGGAAAGATGGAGATAGATGTAGAATGTTTTACCCTCCCTGGTGGTTATTTTATATTCCTCATCACTGAACATTATCTTTTATCAGATAAACATTGACGAAGGTGAGTTTCCTCCAGCACAATGCACATTTACTGGTTGGTCTTTGCTTTGGCATGACATGGTGGCGATAGCTTTGGTGAGTCATGGCAATATAGTTGGGTGCTCGCCTATCTTAGAGAATAGCTGCCAAATTCAACATGTGCTTGGGTGGGAATTGCGTACAATTTTGAGGTTATGCAACACTGAGAAAGTTTCTCAAATCATAGGAAAAAAATGGGGATATTTGTGATTTGAGCTTATTAATCATTGCTACATGTATAAAAGTATCCCAAGAGAAGAGATGAATATGTCCCCCTTTGTTAAAAACATAAGGTAAAGACCCGTATACAATCTCAGAACTGCATATCAAATGGCATACAGTAGATTGTACATCTCATTTACATGCCGGGCCCCATAGATTTACTTGTATATGATTGCCATTCAACATATTTCTTGTCAATTTTTTCAAGGATGGCTATGCAGCTCAAGTGACAAAGATAATATCATGTAACAAATCAAAAGAAAACTATTTGATAGCACAAAATATTGGCAGGATATCTGAAAATCTGAATATGTGATGCATCAGGACAGAGGGCCTGTGCCCAAAAAGTAGAAAGGAATTGGGTTAGGATAGGGATTACCTTGGATTACACATCCAAGGGTAGTTAAGAGTCATCTTCTGGGTACCCATCAAAGAGGAGCTTTGAATTACTATGTGGGTACCCATCAAAGGGGAGGTTTGAGTCATTTTCTGGGAGCCCATCAAAGGGGAGCTTTCAGTCATTTTCTGAGTACCCATTAAAGGGAAGCTTTGAGTCATTTTCTGGGTGCTCATCAAAGGGGAGCTTTTAGTCGATTTCTGGATACCCATCCAATGGGAGCTTTTAGTCATTTTCTGGGTACCTATTAAAGGGGAGCTTTGAGTCATTTCTGGATACCCATTAAAAGAGAGCTTTGAGTCATTTTATGGGTGCCCATCCAAGGGGAGCTTTGAGTCATTTTATGGGTACCCAGCAAAGGGAAGCCTAGAGTCATTTTCTGGGTACCAATCCAAGGGGAGCTTTGAGTCATTTTCTAGTTACCCATAAAAGGAGAGCTTTGAGTCATCTTCTGGGTACCCATCAAAGAGGAGCTTTGAGTCATTTTCTGGGTACCCATCAAAAGGAAGGTTAGCGTCATCATCTGCGTACCCATCAAAGAGGAGCTTTGAGTCATTTTCCGGATACCCCTCAAAAGGAAGCTTAGCGTCATCTTCTGGGTACCCATCAAAGAGGAGCTTTGAATCATTTTCTGGATACCCATCAAAAGGAAGCTTAGAGTCATCTTCTGGGTGCCCATCAAAGAGGAGTTTTGAATTATTATGTGAGTACCCATCCAAGGGAGCTTTTAGCCATTTTCTCGATACAGATCGAAGGGAAGCTTTGAGTCATTTTCTGAGTACCCATTACAGGGGAGTCTGAAGTCATTTTCTGGGTACCCATTACAGGGAAGCTTTGAGTCATTTTCTGGGTACCCATCAAAGGGGAGCTTAGAGTAATTTTCTGGTTGCCCATCCAAGGGGTACCTTCTGCGCTCTTTGATTGGTAATATTCGCTCTATTTTATTGAACAAGCAGTTTTGAAGTATCAGCACCTCTTGAATATGTGGTTTTGGGGGGTTTTACTGTTGTCTTTGTTTCTTTTGAGATTTCCCCTCTCTTCCTGTCAGGACAGGAAGTGATAGGAGATCTCTGCAACAGCAAAAACACATTATTAGTAGAGTGGGGAAGGATTAGAAATTTTGACAATGTTTTTTATTGCAATCTGAGCCTTCCTGTCAGGGGGCAAATTTACCTTCCATTAATTGCACAGGCTTTACACCTACAGGAAGTGAGCATCTCCCCAATGGGGTCACATACAAGAATAAACACCTGATAAAAAAGTTTGACACTTTCCTATTCTATACAAAGTTTGAAGCTGAACTCTGGGATCAGCAAATTTTGTGTAAATACAGGTGACATTGGTATTCTTCCTTGCATCTTGGTGAGCTGTGTGTATATCTTCCAGATCTGTGCAGTAATCCAGTGTGACACTTGAAGCTTCCTGTAATAAAGACCGGTCACTGCTGCTCTCTCCTTGTGCAGGGGGACTGGTCTTGTCTCCACCTCCTCCTGTACTTTTCTGCAGGCAGCCTGTAGGCAGCCTCTCTCAACAGACTATATACAGCACACCGTTGATATCACTGCTACTTGTACAAGGTAACCATTGGGTTTGCAAAGGCATTTGGTGCACACGAAGTGGATCTATATCCTTGTGGCCATTGAGGAATATCTTAAAATGAAGTGTTTTGTGCCTGAAGCTTCCTGTAATAAAGACCGGTCACTGCTGTTCTCTCCTTGTGCAGGGGGACTGGTCTTGTCTCCGCCCCCTCCTGTAGTTTTCTGCATGCAGCCTGTAGTGGGTGGGGTCTGCTGGGTCCATCCCACAGCTCTGCTCTCTGCACAGGCTATGCACAGCACACCGTTGATATCACTGCTACTTGCACAAGTAACCCCTGGGTTTGCAAAGGCATTTGGTGCACACAAATTGGATTAATATCCTTGTGGCTATTGACAATTATCTTTCAGTGAATGTTTTTGTGCCCAAAGTTCAGCTTTAAAGATTTTATGAGAGTTTGATGACTGCAAATACATCTACTTTAAGTTCATAACATTGACCTTTAAGCTTGCTATAACCACACACAAAGGTAATATTTCAAGCTTTTATTTAAGTAGCAGACTCCATCTTAGGTTATTTGATTACATTTTGGTAAATCACATTCTGTGTTCATAAATAACATAAAGCGAATATGAAAAAAAAAATCACACGCAGCACCTATCTTGACGTGTAACAAAACTGGCCGGGTAAATAATGTTTGAGATATCAGCTGAATAGACGTACATCATTAGTCAGTCTCTGTATTGAACTGTATTGAACTTAATGTATATTCTGTAGGAAAATGGCCATCAACACCATCAGTTCATCTTCCTCTCTTCTCTCTGTAGGAATAAAGGAAAAAAACCTGTTAACTTGTTGGTCTCCGAATACTCTGTGAGACCTCTGGGACTGTTCTGATGGTGGTGTATCATCACTAAAACATCAAAAGCATGTCATCAGAAGGTACTACGATTTTAGGTAGAGACATACTTTAAAGCTGAACTCTTTTCTTACCTTTATTTCAGCAAGTCCTTTCTCGTGTTGAACTGTATTACTCTCAATTTCCTACAAACTTGCATCTCCACGATATAACCCTTTGAAGCTGCAACAGCTATCTTGAGACACCTTAATTTCCTGTCCTAACGGCTTCAATCATCATCAGTCCCCTCTCCTCCCGATCTGTATTGCCACTGCCCCTGACCACTCACAGCTATCAGCTTTTCCCTGCCATCAGCCATTTTGTTCCAGAGATTTATAAGAAAGAACACATCCCGGCATCCCTTTAGATGTACCTGCAACCAGCCAACCAAACAGCAGCTAAAGCCTACAGCACCCATTGACCAGCAGGGAGAAGCAGTCACATCTAGAGGGATGCCGGGGATGTGTTCTTTCATATAAGGCTTTTGAAAAAGATCAGAGGCAGAATGCTGTGACGTTTGTAAGAGACTGGAGGCCCATTCCACCACACTTGGAGCAGCAGACAGACCCAGTGATGACGTCATTTCTTAAAAAAAACTAAATTATTGGATTAAAAAATTTTAATTGCAGGTTTCCCGGGGGGGCAGGGGAACGAGGGAAGGTATTATATGCATACACTATACACAATGGCTAAAAACCCACAAAAGCTGCCCTTTCCAGGAAATCAGTATATGCCTTGATGGAGCCATTTTGTATTATCTCTTATTTCATTGAAACCTAACTGGATGACATAAAGGGGTCTATTTATAAACAATGCACAAGGTCGTTTGCCCCATCAATACAGTATATGCCAAAACCAATGTTTTTTAATTTTTTTCTTTACAAGTCAAATTAATTTTTGAATTGCATTATGGCCACTAGATGTAGCTAAGCGAGCGTAGGAAATACGTATTAATATGCCCCCCATCGCCATCTAGTGGCCATAATGCAATATTACATGAAAAAAAAACATTCGAAAATATATTTCCTTGCAAACAAACAGCTAAAGAATGTTCATCTTGGCATATATCTGCACAGAACGAATGTTCACAGATATTCACAAGGTGAATGGATTATACACTTTAATGAAGGCTGCAGATTTGACAAGACTAGAGAACAACTTTTAAAATTACAAGAGGGCCATTGCATGGTCCAGCTCCATTTGATGACAATCGTCTTTTGTCTATGGGTACTTTCAGACAGCATCGAAAATAAAGTTATACTAGAGTTGGATATACATATCCTGGTCCATTGTAAAAACTTTTGGTTAATGCCACCTGGTATAAATCAGGTTGTCTCCCATAAAATAGTTTTTGGCCCGTGTTGATGCTTCTGTTGATCACTGCTTACAGAAGGTAATGGAAACATGAGAGAGCCCCCCACATTTCATCCCCCTATCCCTGCTCCCCCATGGTTCTCCCCATACCTCTGACACACTCATCCCACCCCAACTCACCTCCCCCACACTGCTTTTTTCACGAGACACCTTTCCATGAGCACAACCTTATATATGGCCACTTCAGTTTCTCATAACCAACCACCAGTCTTGCCCATCACAACCAGCAGTGGCAAACAAACATGGGTTCCTCATAACATCTCTGCATTGTACCACAACAATTACCTGTACAAATAGGTTCTGATTCTATGCTGTAGTCCATATTTCTGTATTATCTTTACTAAAAAAAAACACCAATATAACTTTGAACCAATCAGGTTGTCTCCCTCTGCAGGTTTCCTGTGTCATTTAGAAGCTTTGGTTCTGA